TTCAATAATCTTGTATTTAAATTTTATGCGGTTTAGGTTTCTCTTGATTATAAAAGTTAATTTATTATAGCGCTTCACCTCAAGCACATATCGATTTCAGTTTTAAACGTTTTTATACCCAAATATTTTAAAATAGTTAATTATTATTTCCAACGATTTTTCACATAAATGTTTAAACTTTGACCGAAACTTTATGATACGAGAAATGATCCATTCGAATTTTACAAATATAAATTACAGCCTTTACATCACTTACATTGAATGTGGATTTTAGCTTTGGATGAAATAATATTAACTATACCCAAAAGAGTAGTTTCTTATCCATTTTAATTTCAAATTCTGATAAAATATCTATTGTAAATGAACTGACACCTGTGTCGATCGAATTTTAAAAGAAAACTATTAATTTAATAATGAATATATTACACCCACCCATGCATCCTTGTTACTATTTTGCATGCGTTGATTTTCTAAGATTTTTTCAATGTCCTTCATGTAGTCATTAACAAAATTTTAGCTCGGTAAAATTTACCTTTTTTCAATCATTGAAATCGAAAAATTGAAAACTCGAAAAAACAATTTTATAACGTATTTTATAGAATTCGTAGTATATCGTGTATTATTGCAAAAATACTAGTAAAATTTTAAAATTGTTCTCATAAAAATTAGTTAAATAAATTAATCTTTAATTTTAATATTTTAAAGATGATGTTGAGTCAACAAAAATCGGGATTATATTTAAAGACTTCAGATCCAAGCACAGATAAAAATTTGTACAAATAAATGAGTCCCAAGCTTAGAAAAGAATTGAAAATATTGCTGTGAGAAACAAAAAGTGTCCAAATTGTTTAAGTTTGTTTGTTCATTAATTAATTATTTCTCTTTTCCCTTTAGATGGGCTTTTGGGATTGGATTCTATTCAATGTTTTCAATTTGTGATAAACCGTCGTAAGAATTTATTTTTTTTTTGAAAAAAGGAATTAGATTAATTTTTAAGGTAATATCTGATGAACAAGTAATACATTTCTTTTGGGTACAATTTCTAGTAAATTGATGGAAAAGATAATAAGTTTGATAACGCTTGTAATGTATCTGAGAATCTGAAAGTGTAATATTTATATATTAAATTAATTACATTTGGAATATTATTTTACAAATTAAAATTTATAATTTCAATTAATTTTCAAATGTTGAAGAATAATAGAATATAACACGGTTCTTGATCGGTTGTCTTCTTTTAAAATATATTAATTTATAGGTATCTATGAATAACATTAAAGAAGTATCTGAATATTTTAATGATACATTAGTCAAAGAAAATTACAGATTCGAGCCAGATAAAGATTGCATTAAAATTAATGCTTATTCTCAAAATAAATTGTTTCGGCTTACCATTAGAATGTAATAATATTTATATAGACGTTTACTGGTTTAAAAGATACTTCGCAGCAACAACCATTAATTACTGACTATAAAGAACTTCTATGCATCTTAGTTACCAATGGAGATTTGATAAATTACTGTCACAGATAAATTTCTAAAAAAAAAAATAAAACAACTTATTAAGAAGAATCTGCCAAATAATTATGTACACCGAATTTAGAGGTTATATAGACTGATTCCTTCTATTTTTGAAACAAGGAAGAATATTTATTGGTTTTTCAACTCAAATTTATCAGCTCAGTTGATTCCTAATGTAAAGAATGAATCATTCGATATTGATAAACAAAACTTTGAAAGATTATTATGAGGGAAATAATATACTTATTGACAAAGATGAGTTCGAACGCGTGAAACATCATAAAGGGCTTGAATACAATACTGCACGTCTTAAGATACTTCACATACCAAATAATTAAGTTATTAAATTTATCAGGAACAATTTTCAAGTTGTTTAAAACAGAAATTGCTGATTCTCTCAAAATCTGGTGTACTGATAACTGACATACGTATGTCTAACTCAAAAATGGAAAGATTCATAAAAAGTATTCCAATCGGTTTAAAAATTGTATTTGAACAATTTAATGTTTTTTTGAAAAGCAAAGGTTATAAATGAAAATTTAAAAAGAGCTATCTTTTCAAGTTGTTTAACTTTAAATTAAAAAGTAGAAGGTGAATGACTGCACTTTTAAAATGGTTGATATCTTATAATTCAGAGGAAATAATAACGTTACACCGGAGTAGTTTGCACATTTTACGGGGGTTGGCTACTTTTCACATTGAAGATAAATTCATCGTTGAAAACGTTATATTTTATATTCGAGTGTTGTACAATTCCAAAATTTTGCAAATCTGAGATTAATAAAAGTTAGAGTTTTTCAAATAATAAAGTTTTTAGCTGATTAATAGGTATAATATGAGTTAACATTTCGATCTTTTATTAACGTTAAAATTTTTTTTTATTGAAAAATAGAACAATAAAATCAATATACTGTAAAATCTACACAGTTAAAATTGCATTTTACTATTATTGATTTCGAAAAAAAAAATTATAAAGATTCACTAAAAAGTACAATGACAACAATTAAAAAAGGTAATAAGATCCCTATTTATTATAGTACTCTTATACGTATCAAACTTCCAAATTCTAGTATTAAGATCTCTAACCTTTACCAGAAGTTAAGATTCAAGTTTTGATAATTTATTTAGTCTATTATCCATGCTATTACATAAACATCATTATTTAATATCTTAAAGGAAGATTACCTGCACATGACTTTAGTCCAGATAATCAAATGTTATCATCTGCGTGATCTACGTAATTTTCTAATCATTCTTCCCCGTAGTGGTGTTTGCTGATTAACATTAGGTTCGCCAAAAAAAAAAGTTGATCCAATCATATTATTGAAATTATATTGTTGATTTTGTTGAGGTTGAGAAATGTCATGACTTGTGCCTTGTCGTGACGAAATATTTCTTTGAGGTAAAACTAAGGTATTCGGTGTTGTATTAGGATCAAAATGATACCCAATTATATCTCTATATAATTGTTTAGAAAATATTGGTTCAAGTATGCTAATTTTCTTCCAAAAAACTTTTGCAGGAATATGAAACCATCTAATATGTGGAATTATATCATGAAGGATTTTTTCTAATTCTTCAAAATCATTTGATGCCCAGTGAGAAACATCATCTATATCTAAGGAAGTCGGCATTTTTGAAAGACCCCATTTGAGAATGTAATTCCAAATTTCGAATTCTTCCATTTCAAGTTCATCCTTCCTTAAAAAACTTATAACTTGATCCTTTTCTAATGATGAAAATCTTGGAGACTCAAAAAGAATTTTTGGATTCTCACCAATCGTTTTTAAACAATGATTCTTTAAGTTTTCAAAAGTTTCATATTCAAATAAGGTTTGAAGGATTTCAACAGCTTCATTACTTAAATATTCAGCATGATTATCAATCAAGTAAGATTGAATATAATCACTTAATTTTTGAAGTTTCATATTGTCAGCCATGACCAAAAGTTTCAACATTTGTGTTCCATTTAAATCATATAAATTAACAATTCCAGTATACAAGAACATTAAGATTAATTCAAAGAAATCCGGAGTAATGTTTGGCATTTTGTAAATAATATTACCATTTTCTTTTTTTGCGGTTTCTTTTGACAGTGCGGTCTTAAAATACGTCGATCTCGCTCCTAAAATTAATGAATGTGCAAAGAATTCTTTCATATTTTGTCCTTCACCAGCCTGAATAATCACATCATAATAATCTCCACCGAAAAGAAGTAGTCCGATATCATTTGATAAATCCGACAAAAAATTTGCTGCCATGGTTTTATAAAAAGTGGATGTATTAGGTAGGTTTAATGAACATCGGAGAAATTTATAACTTATTCCGTGAAGATCTCTAGTCATGTGGTAAACACAGCTTCTAACGGCATAAAGTAACCCCCATTTTTTTTTTTGTGCCCTACATTTCGACTTTAAGGCAATAATATTAATCTGGTTAGATCCGATACTTAAATAGTTAAAATTTATTTCTTACGTGCCCATAACGTAAATATTTAGTCAATATGTACTAATTATTTCTTAATTACATTTAAATAGTTTTTTCAAAATTGAAAAAAAATTTTTAATAGTACACGCGCGATTAGCACATGTAAAATATAAGCATGCATTTGACCATCATGCTTAGAATTAGCTACGCTTGAATTATTTTATTACAAAAATAAAAATTGAAAATGAAATTTTTTTGATGAATAATAATTTTCTTCGCAAATAATTTTTGGTGAATTAACAAAAATTTTATTTTCCTTGACGTTCAAATTGTGATCAAAAAATCGCTGCGCCATAAACAAATCGATTAATCAAAATCGAAAATTGAAACTTAGAATCGAAACTCGCGAAACGATTAATCACTTTCTTAAAACGTTTCTATTTTGTTTAATCCCTATCATGCATCTTCGGAAGCCGATAAAGCTATAATAAAAAATGTCGATTGATGAATTATACATCAGCCATGGTACTGTACATAATAAATTGAATAATGTTAGAATTTTATATTAAACCAATTTACTTATTCTTTGGTTAACCATCGTGTATAATCATTTTAATATAATGGCCCAAAAACAAAAGCAACTTTTTTTTACGTATTCTTACGTAAATTTTTGGGTGATACAAATTTTTTTAATACCACAATTAATTATACACCTTACAATCCTTATCAGTTATTTTCATAATTGTTACGTTCATACTGTAAGATGCAGGGATTTTTTAAAAAAATTCACGCATTGAACAATTAGGTATTGAAAGGTTGAAAAGATATATAAAACATCTTGTAAAATATAATTTAAAATTTTTATAAATTTATTTAAACTTATGATCCAATATTAGATAATAATATGCATATATCTTAAATTATTCAGTAATAATATTGAAAGTAATTCGAGTTAATGGTAAAATATTTTATAACTTCAAAGTTAAATTTCCGCTCGTTAAGTTCAAAAACGTAGGTTCATCGTCAAATATTGTCACGTGTCAATGGTGCACCTAATGCTTGTTATTTCTCATTTTCAATGAATTCAAGCATTGTTGGATTGATCCAAATAAGAAAGGATGATCATTAGGAAATTTATTTCGAATATAGGGCTTCAATTCCTTCATATAAATAATATAATAATCGAATTTATTTCAGATATAAAAGTTCAAAGGTAAAATTTATGTAGTTCATCTTACCGAATCTCCAGCAATAATTAACTTTCCGGTTTTTGGCTTCAAGCATTCAATCGCAATGCTAGCATCTGAAACTAATAACTATTAAAATGAAAGAAATTTAATATTCTACTTCGCGATATTAACACTCACATAAAATTTACTTGCCTGGGAACCTTCATCGATTAACATAATGTCGCACCCAGGCCAACGATTCCATGCTTTCCTTAACTTATACCAATCCCAAACAGTACCTCCAATTACAATAAGATTTCCGCCGGGAATTTTAATTTTTGTAGGTAAAGTACTTGCTTCACATTCCGTTTAAAGATTTGTTGTTCAATATGTAAACCATATTAAAAATCTTCACTTGTTTTGGCACAGAAATACCTTCAGTAAATTTTGAATAGCTTCCCTTGACAATGCCGTTACACCAATTATGTAATTCCTATTTTGATCTATTGGCTGACTCAAATGCCGCATGATCAGCGACGCGACTTTATCAGAACTCTAAAATAAAAACAATGAAATTATCAAGAAAACACATAATTCCTTATAAAAACAAAAAAAAAAATTATAAAACGATTTACAGCTGGTCCCGAAACAATTTTAAGTCTTCCTTCCAATAATTCTTCTTCACACCAATTATTTGTATTTATCAAGAGATCCTAAAATTAATAAAATTAGAAAAAAGTATAATGGAATTAACAAAATATTTACGAAACTAAAAAGATACTAACCATAAACACCGACTTAACACCTCGATTATCAATTTCAATAAGCATGTCTATGACTTTATTCAAATTAAAATTGATACACCGTTTATAAAGGCGATATGTTTTGCCTTTATTCAGGTTGATTCTAACTTCCCGTTAAATAAACCTTTCGATTTAGCAAGTCAAGTTTAAGAACACATAAAAATGTTGATTTTTGTTCGAAATGAACTTCTTGGTCATCCATATGGGTCAAATCTGAAAATCTAATAGCCTCCAGAATTCCCTATTAATTTTTTTATCATATAATTACTACCGGTTCGGTTTTATAAACTAAAATTGATTATTATACTCACCTCGGGACTATCCTCAACAAGCATAAATTGTTTATAATGTCGATCGCTTTCTAATTCTTGTTCGTTACTTAAAGTAGTGAATAGCGTCACCCGATCCGAATTTATATTAATAAACTTTTCAAATTGAATTTTAATTCCATATGCAGATTCATTTTGCAAATAATCACTCATCCTTTGAGACTTTTTATCTTTACATTCAGCTCTTGCTTCAAGTAGTTTGAAATAATATAATTTACCCAAATAATTATTTTTAAAGGTTTTGGTGGAAGCTAAAGTAAATTCAGGTGCGTCAAATATTAATTTAGAAGTACTGTTGTCGTTAATTGATTCTTTAAGTAGCTCATAATAAGCTTCTATTACCGCATATCCGAAATCAATTCTTAACAATTGAAATTTATTCACTTGTTTCGGACCTGCAGAATGCCAAAAAGTAAAAATACATTCAAAATCGATATGTTTAACATGTGGTTTTAAAGACCTAAGCAATACTTGATCATGCATCTTTGGCACCACCAATTGTTCCCAAATATCTGTAATACAATAAAATCCGGGAACGCAAATTGCGACATTTTCTCTTATCGATTGTTCTAAAACGATTAATCGTGGAAATTCACGCGTGTTACGTGCTGGAAGTTCCTCATGATTCTAATTACTGATAACAACTTTGAATCTTCAAATAAATTAAATAAACATATTCTGGCTTTACGCTTAATTACATTTAAATCCATTTTTGACCTCTCAAGATATATTATTTCTATTAAAGAATCTTGAATATATTCCTTTTCTTTTTTAGAATACACGAAGGTACAAGCTTTTAAATTATTTGATTTCAGGTGTTCAAAACACTGCACCAATAAAGTAAGTGAATTCATCCATAAAAGAAATGAATACCTTGTTAAGATCTTCATCTTTTGAAAGTGATTTTGATTGTCGGAATTTCTGCTTGATTTTCTTATCGCGAGCATAAAGACATATTCCCTATCCGAAAGGCTTTAACGATAAGGTATCATATGACAATGTAATTAATAAATTATAATCTTGAGGAAAATCTGTAGTTGCAACTCCAACGAACTTGAAATGTTAACATGATTAATAAAGGTTCATGTCTTTACTAAATGAAATATGCAAGTGACATACCTGAGCCTGCACAGACTTCATTTCCATATAAGGAGAGATTTCATATTTAATGATCTTTTTAATACCCTTTGCTCGTTCATCATCAGCACTAAGTATTAGATAAATATTTTACCAAATCTTCAATGTCAACGTCATTAACTAATTCAACATTCATTCCGCTCTCTTCTGTTTCAAGATCTCGCTTAATGTTTATTAATTGTTTACGTGATAAGTTTGTGATCAGTGCAAGGGTACCTTTGACTTCTTTTTTACAATTATGCACAAAGTAACAATTTTTACAACTTGAATCAAAATGCCAAGATGAATTTTGAATTGACGTTTCTATAATTCGTGGTAACCTTTCACGAAATAAATCTTTAATCTCCGGAAGCAATTCCTTTATACTAATTTGTTGTAAATTGAAAGGTGGCAAATAAATTCCACATGTATTTGAAACTTTGATGTCCCGAACCATTAAATTAAGAAGGTACGCATAAATCGCAACTTGAAACTAAAAATAATCATGTATGAAATAAATTAAAATTAAATTCAAATCTTTTTAAATTTAACAAAGACTTTTTACCTTATGAGAAGATTGTACGCACTTTGAAGACTTTGCGTCACGTATTTCGTAACTTTTTTTGTTAACTTTAATGAAATCCGGTCTAAAATCTTTTATTTCAATGATACCTTTTAAATTGAACTTTTCATAGAATGTTTCATTTACTTTAAATGACATTTGACAAAAGATTTGACCAACTTTCGCTTTCTTTAATAAATTGATATTAGCTTCATTTGACACGTTTACAAAATTAATTACATTCTCTCCATATAAATTTCTTAATTCATTCTCAACTTCAACTTCAAATTTTCTTCCACGTTGTCTCTCTGAGGTTTTGGTCCTTTCGTAATTTTAGCATTTTTCTCATCGTGATTCTGTCTTGATTTAAGCTTTAAAAATTTTTCGCAATCATAAAAATAAAATTCTGATAATTCAGATACCGATAGTGAGGCAGCCAGTTTTTGAGAAACAAGATGATCTTCATCTGACTTTATCAAAAAAAGATTTTATTTTGGATAAAAAAATAAAAATGTTAACACATAACAAGGTAAAATAATTGTTTAATTTAGTTATTGAGCTTATTAAAATATGTTTATTGAACGAAAAGGCTTAGATCATTCCTTTCCTGTATAATATGTGGAATTATGCATGTCCGGCTAAGTTACACACATGCAGCTAATTAACCGTAATTTCACAATGGAAATGTTCACCTTATAAATATTTGAAATGAAATGAATCATTACCGTAATTCGGGGTATTTTTCTTTTTGGATTTTCCTCCATTTTAAGATGAGACTAAAGCATAAGGGTTGTTGTTATCGTGTTATATAGTATTTTATCAAGAAGGGTAAAATTTAAAAAGAACAAAAAAAGATTTTTTATTTTTTTTTTTTTTTTTTTTTTTTTAGGGACTAAAAAATTTGCAAGCCCTGCAAATGTGAGAACTTTGAGTTTATGAAGCATGTACTTATAAACAAAAATCCTAAAACACACGTCCAAAACATTCATATTTGTGAAACTAATAATCTTTACGAGGCGCAACCAATATTGGTGAAGAAAATCAATAGATCGAAGTTATCACTTTTAAATAATCGCCGCAGTGAGTCATTCAACAGATTGCTTAATTGGGACATAAAAACAATCATGTGTTTTAGTAATTGAAAGTACAAATCATAAACAAAACAAAGGTATGTAAATCAGCCAAAATTTATTATCAGAGTATCGATATGTGTGACAGAATGAGTTGTTGCCATAAAGTACTTCTTTAAAAATTAATTATTTTAATTCGAATGTAGTTAATTTAATAAAACTTGTAACTTGCCATTTAAAATAAGTTCAAGATATGCAATTATAAATGACTTAGTTCCTTTACGTATATAATAAATAAATAAATGGCAAACGTTAAATTTGTTAAATGATAAACTGAAAACAGTTACTGTTTGTTTGATCTGCTTTTTATTGTCAATCTGTATTTATTCCCTTCTTTATCGATGCATAGATTATTAATTCATAACTTGATAAAGAGGCGCCACTTAGTAATTGCGATCTCCAAAATTTTTATCCATTTTTATTCAATTCTAATATACTACATTTAAGTATTACAACATTTCGATCATTCAATTAGTATGTTGACCTTTAAACATCCTGCATGATTCTTTGATAAATTTTCGTAAATTTAATAAATCTTATATGCAATTGACCATAAAAGAAGACAAATACATGATATAGCTCTCTATGCAAATTTGATTTTCAATAATTGTAATTTTTTTTTCTTACATGATAAATCAGTATTGATATTGAGTTTTTGTATCCTTTTTATATTATTATTATTTGCAAAGCTGAAGGTGAAGAAGTATGAATATAAAACAAACGTAAGTGATTTATTATCAATTTTTTTTTTTTTAAAAAAAAGATTTTAAGATCGACTGCTGTATTAATTAAAATAATATGTAAACCTTTATTTAGTTTATTTTTAGGCTCATCTTTAGTCTTATTACTCAAAATAAAAACTTAAATAAAAATAGAATCATAGCAACTAGTAAATAGGTATGGGTAGGTAATCAACTGGTATTGAAGTTGTTATCACACATCAACCATAATAAAGTATTTATATTTCTTTTTATAAAAATATTGAATGGTTAATTTGTATAAACTCAACTAGGAAATGCGATGCGATCATCCAAGCTGAACTTAAGAAAAAAAGAACAACAATTAAAATAGGGCGAAAAATACTTGATTGTTGCGGTTCTAAGCAATTGAATCTCAGAAACATACAATTTATCATTTTAAGCTGATTATATTTTTATTCGAATCTAGACAAATTTATGTAAGAGAATATTTTACCTCCCAAATATAATATATATATATATATATATATATATATTTTTTAAAAAAAAGATAATTATGTATTAAAAATTCATCTTCTTTATTGCGTCACATGTTAGCAAACATCGACTCGGAAAACCCTTGTATTTATCACTGAATTAAATTAATGGATCAATTTATTGGGCAAAACACATTCGACACAGTTATTGAGATGCATACAATCAAAGTAATGGAGTATATTCGGTTATTTTTGCGTTATTAAAAAAAAAAAAATAAATTAAAGTCATTTTCAAACAATAATGATGTGGGAAAATTTCCCGGTGAAATGGTGGATCTATATGGATAGATAGTACTTTAAGGGTATCCCCTATATTCTAATCCTGTGATAAATGAGAAATGCCATAAATGATGATAGAAAATCCTTTAATGATACTAATTTCTAGGGAATTACTTGATTGTTAGCAATCAGTGTTTTAAATTATGTGAAATACTTCTCAAAAGAAACGTGAACATGTAGAGGGTTAAATATTTAGGCGAGAAAATTCGATTTGGAAGGATAGTTATTGAGACGTTGAGTATTTTAAAGATAAAGGTCTGATATACATTAAGGAATCGGGTAAATTTGGTAAGCTAGTTATTAAAGTATTTGTACAGTATAGATATGTTAATGAATTGGGTAAAATTGGTAGGATAGTTATTTCAGTATAAGAGCAATTAAGTTTAGTTAAGGAGTTGGGTAAGTTTGGTAGGATAGTTAATGGAGTATTATTGCAAAAAAGTTCCGTTAAGGAGTTGGGTAAAGTTGGTAAGCTATTTATTTTAGTGTTATAACACCAGATTACAGTTAAGGAGTTGGGTAAAGTTGGTATGGTAGTTATTCGAGTATAAGAACAATTAAGTTCCATTAAGGAATTGGGTAAAGTTGGTAGGATAGTTATTTGAGTATTAGAGCAACTAAGTTTAGTTAAGAAGTCGGGTAAAGTTGGTAGAATAGTTATTTGAGTATAAGAGCAATTAAGTTCCGTTAAGAAGTTGGGTAAAGTTGGTAAGATTGTTATTTGAGTACTCTGACAATCAAGTATTGTTAAGGAGTTGGGTAAAGTTGGTAGGATAGTTATTGGAGTATTAAAGCAACTAAGTTTAGTTAAGGAGTTGGGTAAAGTTGGTAGGATAGTTATTGAAGTATCATAGCAATAAAATTCCGTTAACGAGTTGGGTAAAGTTGTTAAGCTATTTATTTGAGTGTTAAAACACCAGAGTACCGTTAAGGAATTGGATAAAGTTGGTAGGATAGTTATTGGAGTATTATAACAAAAAAGTTCCGTTAAGGAGTTGGGTAAAGTTGGTAAACTATTTAAATGAGTTTCATAGCAATCAAGTATCGTTAAGGAGTTGGGTAAAGTTGGTAGGATAGATATTTTAGTACCATAGCATTTAAATTCCTTTAAGAAGTTGGGTAAAGTTGGTAGAATAGTTATTGAAGTAGAAGAGCAATCAAGGACCGTTAGGGAGTTGGGTAAAGTTGGTAGGATATTTATTGGAGTATCTCGGCAATAAAGTTCCGTCAAGGAGTTGGGTAAAGTTGGTAAGCTATTTATTTTAGTGCTATAACACCAGAGTACAGTTAAGGAGTTGGGTAAAGTTGGTAGGATATTTATTGGAGTATTAGAGCAACTAAGATAAGTTAAGGAATTGGGTAAAGTTGGTAGGATAGTTATTGGAGTATCAGAGCAATAGAGGTTTGTTAAGGCGTTTGGTAAAGTTGGTAGGATAGTTATTGGAGTATAAGAGCAATATAGTACTGTTAAGGAGTTTGGTAAAGTTGGTAGGATTGTTATTTGAGTATTCTGACAATCGAGTGTTATTAAGGAGTTGGGTAAAGTTGGTAAGGTGGTTATCTGAGTATTATGACAGTCGAGTACTTTTAATTTGCGATACCTTTCTAATCCTCCGAAGGCGTTTAATATGTCATCCTTATTAAATTCCGTAAGCGTTACACGTTCAATAGTATCATCATAACTATCTTCAATATGTGATTCTAATTCTTCTACATTCATCTGACCAGCCAAATAATGAATAATTTCGGAATTATTTGATTCATAATTAAATCGAAATGTTTCACCAAATGAATTATTTATGATAGAAGAAGCTACAATGTTATCCAAACGACGCTGTTGTTGAAGATTTGATTCATCATTATTCATAAGATTATTTTCTGTTATGTTATTA